TAACCAGCCTTCTCAACTCGTGTGGTTGGGAGAAAAAACATAGATCTGATGTGTCTTCCAGTGAGCAAAACAAGAGTGACTTAATTTAGTGTAATTTGCTGTGCTACCATATTAGCTTTATCTAGCTGCTCTCGTCTGTCCCTCCTGCCTCTCTGCAGAAGTTTAAATTAGAAGTTTTAATGAGCTTTCGCATTGCACAATGTGTACCTTCACTTCAGATTGAAATTGCCATTACCAAATGAGGAAGTCCTGCTTCCCACATTGCTTTTGCATGCCTGTTCTGGTCCTCACTGGAGTGACCTTGCTCACTTCACTAACCCTAAGAAAGTGAGTATTTTTTGGCTACGTTATTGTGTTAAATCTCACCAAAAGTCTGGTGACAGCCAAGGAAGATGGAAGGGTACAACATGTGGTTCAGTTGGCTTGTTTGTCTTGAAGACTTCAGTGACTGCAGTTCACAGTTCAGAACCTCAGATGCTTAAGTGAACTAGAGCAGTGAAGTAGGAAGCTTCTGTCCAGAGCAGAAATTGCCAGTGTTAAAACAAACCATGACCCTTTTTCCCTGTCGATAGGTGCTATAAGGCATGAAGAAGAGTGCATGCTGTTACTAATTTCATTTAAAAAAAAAAAAAGGCAGCGTTTATCAGAGGTTTTCTAACTTCTTATCATAGGCTGCATTAGCATTTCCTCTTGCTATGATCTTCCTGCATAAATATTAATTTGGAAATTGTTTTACAAAATAATATAGAGACTAGCAGAGTTTAAAATATTGCTACCCCTCCCCCAACAAAATGACAGCACTTAACATTAAAGTTAGAATTAAAATATAACCCCTGACAAAGTGCATTCAAAAGGTTCTGTCAGAAGACTAGAAGGAAATACATTCATAAGATTAAGTAACAAGAACTGTTTGCACAGTTCGGAAATGACTGAAAACAGTCAAAAGTTACCACCTGAATAAAGAGCAGGGTATGTGCTTAAAATTTTTGAGAGGAAAATGCATGCAAGTTCTTTATTGTGGAAATGGTAAATGATCAATTTGCATATGCTAGAAATTAATTGAAAGACATTTACAGTATCGAAAGAGCAAGCTTGCAGTGCTTGAAAGATGGCTTTTAAGCCTGGGGTTTCCTTCTTTTTCTCTACACCACCTGCAACAGGTGAGGACAGCAGCAATAATACTGGTGGCAGGTGAGACTGTGGATAGAAAAGTTTGTTGGTTTGTTTTTTGTTTTTTTTTAAAAAGCTTTAAATGAACCTGTACTGTTGATCAAAGTAATAAACCAGTGTTGCTAATAACCTACAGGTAATAATGCAGCTTATTCACAGCTGGTAATCTGAGGAAAGACAGGGCATTTCACTATGCTTTCTAAATTTCAAATACGTTTTTTAAGGGCAGATCAGCCTCAAACATTCTAGTTTATGTAAGTAGGCATCATTACAACAATAGAATACTCTAAATCGGGTTTGGCAACAGCATTGTGGTAAATAATCTGGCAGAGCATTATACTTTTTATTACCTGAAGTGATCAGTTACTTTATTTTTGGTGCCAATCCCAGTTCAGCTGAAGCCAATAAAAAGCTTGCCATGGACACTGATAGGACCAGAATCGAATGCTTCATGACTCACATTTTCACGAACTGTGGTGAGGAAGTGCACATCCATGTGACACTTTCGTTTTTCTCTTCTAATGAATTCACAAAAACCCCAACAAAAAAACTCAAAAAATTAGACATACATAATGCTTATAATAGTATTCATCAGAGGATTTGATAAATCAAGTAGCAGGCTTTCTTATTTCACTGAAGCAAAAGACCGGTTAAGTGATTTATTTTTCAGTTAACAGAGCCAGAGACCTCTTTTCTGACCCTTAGTTATTTGCTCTAACTAATAAACTGTCCCGATTTCTAAAAAGTAGTACGCTGTAAGCTTGTACGATGCTGAAAGCGCAACACAGAAGTTTTTTGGAAAATTTTCAAGGCGGTAGCTAGCAGCATTTAGCGTGACATGTTTAAACCTGTTCTGAGAGAAACAGAATTTAAGTACTACGTAATTTTTCCCAGTGTTTTGTTTAGACACTTCTGTTTTCAACTGTCATAGTAGATCTCTGTTAATTCACTTAAAATCCACTGCCCTTGAAAGAAAGTCCGGAAGTCAGAAACACTGATGATTTACATCTGTACACATGCTGCTGCTTTGCTCCTCCAAACTACCTCTTCCTTCTCCTCCCACCTAAGGACACTTGTATTTGCTGTTTTCTATTTTCTAATAGCAACTGCATTTTCAAAGGAAACTGCATGTAAAATTTGGAAATCTGGCAACACTTCTGAATTCACAAGTCACCACAGTTGACTCCTCCTTGATTTTTTCCTTCTGCAAACCCTGATGAATCAGAAGTTCTAAAAGGAGGCAAGACACAAGGTAAGAGTGTTTTGGGCCAGGAGTCAATGTATGAAAGAAAAAAACCAAGCTCAACCCGAACAACTGCCATTAAAAGGAATTTTCTCCCTTTACAAGGAGAGGGAAGTTGATGTTATGTTCAACTAAATTTTAAACTTTGCTTCTTATTTATAATGATCAGAATGTGTGTTGCACATTGCCATGTTACATGCAACCAGTATTTGAATATCAGTTACTGCATATTTTGAGTATCTTCAGGGTCTAAAGTGCAGATTCTTTGAGTAAATTTGAACTGTTACACCCTGGGGAAGGTGGAGTCTGCTGCCCAAAGAGCTACAGCATTGCTGTTTAACAGTTACACCATCTTAAGTTTTTTTTATTAATACAAAGATCAAGATTTTTGCTTGCATTTCATGGAATCATTTGCAAATTATTTGTAGGAATAGTATAAGAATCAAATTTCAAGTGATTAAATAGGTTTCTGTACAATTTCTGTAGTTTATTAAAACATGACTTTGCCAGACGCATACATCACTGTAGTAACATTAAAGAACCTCTGAACTCTTACAAGGCCTATGAAATCCCTCTCCTTGAAAGTGCTCGTGTCGGTCCTGTTAATTTTTAAATCCCAAGGAAAATCTAGAGAAAAGTGTGCTTTGAAGCTCATGAACAAATTTTAAAATTGTTAGCTAAATAAAAAGGAAATATGAGAGAAATGTTTTTGCAAGCTTCTAATTCCATAGCTTCATCGTAACTCTGCATTTTGGTTATCAACAGTGATCTCGCACAATTCACTTATTTCAGCCTTACAGAACAGTAACCTCCAAGAACTTCAAAATGCTTTTACAAGTAGGGCAAAAGTGAATTGAAGCTATCTCAACAAGCGGATTCCCCCATCTCTCACCAAGAAAGATGCTGCAAAGAAAGAGATTTGTGACTTGTTGAAAGCCAAATCTGATGCTGAAGCTTTAGGAGTAAGAACACAGTCCGATGTCCCCTGATATCAGCTGGGTTGTATGTATTTTTCAAAGGGCAGAACCTCCTTCTTGTAGCATTTTCAATACACCTTCTTTGCATTTCAAGATTTGGAGCATTTTCTTCTTTATAAAAGCATTTACAGATTAAAAATCTCATAACAATCCTCTGCATCTCACTCAATAGCACTGTAAATTCTGGCATGTTAAAAACCATAAAATCAGTGAAATGTTAAATATATTCAACCTTTATAATATAAAGTGCATTTTAGGCACCAAATTAAAATACCATTTGCTGCTGTCACCATTGGTCAAACTGGGGGGGGAGGGAATCCTTAAAAAACTTCATTGCATGTGTCCAGCTATATAGTTACTGTATGCAAGAAAACACCAGCCCAACATGTTGCCTGGGAGGCCCTCTAATATGGCTTGCTGTGGGAAGTGTTTCCCACTCCAGTGCCATTTGACTAGGAGATAAAGGGACAGCAATGTTGATTTGTGACTTGGTCAGCAAGATCTGTAGGCCATATAATGCTGGGGGTTGATATTTTAATAAGATGTAAAATTAAGGGTGGATACAACTGGAGATACAGAAACTGTGTTGATACAGTTGTCGAGTGACTCCCTGAAATTCTTGACTACTGCTCTGTGCATACCGGTTATTTATCTAATATGATGTTTCATTTTCCTTAAAGGTATCATTTTTATCATCCCAGTAGGGCAGTACATACTTATGCAAAGTCCTTCTGTGGGGTAGTTCGGCCTTTTGATTCCAGGAGCTAAATGTCTTTTTCAACATTTAAATCTTTAAACTGCAAGAGAAACATTATCTGTGGAAACTGGGTACTTTTTTAACAAGGGACAAATAGATAGCTATTTGCTTAACATTCCCTGACCCACAGTACTCTACTTGTTCAGCACTAAATATCAGGTCAAAGCGAGTATCAAAACCGTTTGATCAAAGCACACTTTGTCTGAATGGGTAATGTGCCATGCAATTAACGAATGGTTCCTTTTCATCCAAAGTTATAATCACAGAAATACAACAAATTGCGTAGTGTGTTAACCAGCAATGTCTAAAACAAGCCAGTGTAATCCAGAAGCAGTACTAGATACACATTTGAAAGATCAAATCAGGAAACAATTTTCATACTCAAATCTATTACTAGAATGAATAGAAAATTCACACAGCAATGAAGTGACTTTCTCAAATAACAAAGTAGACTTCTTATGGTGGTTTAAAGTATCAATACCCACAAGAAAAGGTTAGTGTCAATAAAATCAATTAAAACACTGTTCCTTCTAAAGAAAAAATAGATGAAACTATTAATGAAACATCAATAGTCTGATGGGATGGCTCAAAGTGCATATGGCAGGGGGTGGCACTACAAGATGTACTCTTTATGCATTCCCTCTTCTTAGCATTATAACCTTGTGCGAAGAATAGTCCTGCAGCCTTTGCAGCAGTTCACCTCTTTTCCCAAATGGGATTTTCACTTGTTCCTAGTTGTGCTAAAGATCTTTCACATTTTTGGAAACTGTCTTGCAATATGCAAGGTAGCACACACTTTTTAAAAAAGTATGTTATGTTTCAGTAATCCTCCCTCACTCCAGGGGGTTTGTGACTATGGGGCAGGAAGTGACATAGACTTTTTTAACACCCGTGCCCTTTTTGGGGGCCCTGGATAAGGGGGCGGTGGCACATCATGTTGTCCGTGTGAAGTAACTGCTTGGTCGTAAGTTGGTAGTCCTGAGTCCTCAGTTCTGGGAGGAAGTGGAGTTAAAGAAAATTCTTCATGCCTTCTGAAGATGCTTGATGAACTATGTCTTCTTACATAATTCAAGTACCTAAACAAAGTTAACAGCATTGTAAGTGGCAGGGAAGAAAGAATATGAAGTCTTAGTTGTTAAAAATAAACAAACAAACAAAAAAACCCCACCAAAAACAAAACAAGAAAACCAGCAAAAAACCAAACACCACAAAAAAAACACCACCAAAAACCACTTGCCTTCAGTGATCATAAAGACTGGAAGCCAAATATTCTCTCCAAAACACAGAGTAAGAATAGCTCAGTAATGTAAAATTTGCAGGGAAGAGGAAGCACAGAATCCCCTTGTATGCCTTTCAAGTTTAGGAAAAAGGAACGAGCAGGGCTAGAGAATGGGCAGAGAAGCATTTCCTTCAACCTCCTCCATTTCACATCTGAGGTAGACTACATGCCATGAAGAGCAATACACCCTAAAGAGTGAACAGAACACATTAGGCTTTCCATTGCAGGCCCCGGCCTATTAAAATGATTCCATCTTTTTAGTAAGAATATTTTGGAGCCAAGAACACACGTAAAAAAACCCCAAAGGTACGTCAGCCATGCAAGTGTTATTTTATGTTTTTGTGTTACTAATTAACTTCAGCATAACTACTGCTAGTGCTCACCTAACTTTGCTTCCAGGAAACGGAACTCCCATTGCATTCTCTGAGAATACAGTTAGACCAACCTGGAGTGATTTTTAAATTCCACTCTTAAGCAAGAGTTTGTTTTGGTGTTTTGTTTTTTTTAAGCAGTCAAAGTCCTTACCTTTGTGGTTGCCTTGATTTGCATCTACTTTTGCAGCAGTAGAAGATAAGCAGTGCAATTATAACTAACAGTACTCCAGCAGCAACTAGACTGATGAGAAGTCCTGTAACGTTAACCTTTTGTAGTGTCTCATCACCTGAAGATAAAACATTGGTTATTTTCATTATGTGTTCCTTCCATCTACATAGTATACAATATCCACTATGAAATACTAATTTTGCTGTGCTGTAAGGCTGTTCCTTTCCACAAAAGGCTAGCTTGGGGTGAGAAGCCATACCTGTGCAACACAACCCAAGAGTATCATTCACATTCAGTGTAAAGCAAAAGTGAGTAGATACTCCCTTTTCTGTACATAAAACTATTGAGATGTCTGTCTTGTAATGCCTTCTAAATATTACTTCATGTACTTGTGACCTTGGATCAGGCTGTAGATCTTTCCTCAAGTCATACTGACCATTATTTGATGAAATGTCTGGCATAAGACTACTCTGAACCTGAATCAGACTGTTGTTAATGGGGGGGGGACAGGACAGGACGGGACACACACACGACACAACACGGAAAAGTTTACTGGTTGTGTAATAAAGAAATGGACAACAAAATTAATACTGTTTATACCTACAGACTTATAATGGATCCCACTGTAAGAAGCATCACTGAGTATGTTTTATTCTATCAGATAATGCAATATACTCACACAGATCACAGTGAATTTCAGTAAAAAGATCAACTCTGATTTTGCAAACTGAATGCATGGTGTATTTTTAAGAATGTACTATTATAACAAACAAAATATTGCAATATAATGAAAGAATATAAAGATAACTTACCTATTTTTATTTTAGGGCCTTTAATTGAATAGTCTTTCCAAAAATCCATCTATAAAAACAAAGGATCAGATTTATATGAGCTACATAATTGGCAGGCCTATTGACAATTTTTTTTAATATGGTACAGAAGCAACTCCCGCTGAAGGATTTGTACTTGCTTATCCCACCGTATTTTTCTCATACATTCAAGTTTGCATAAAAAATACAATTTCATAAAGACGAAAATGCCAGCTGGTGAAAAAGTGCATTTAACTGTCCAGTGTTACCTCATATTTCTGCCTGATTACAGCAGAAGTTAGTATATCTTCTATATTTTTTTAAACATAAAAAATGCTTACAATTAATCTTTGTAAATACCTACAAAAGAGTATTAATGAGGCAAAGTCAAGTTCTTAAGAATCAGACATTTGCATGAAGAGTATGTGAATTTGTATCAGCTAGGAAAAATAATGGGATTCATTTAATAGAAAAACCTTTATGTTGCATGACTGTCGTGCATTACATGTGTTCAGCTATAATTTCCACTTTTGCTACCCAGCAAAAGACTCCATTAAGATTCCAATTTAACGCTTTCACCTTTTTCTTAGGAAAATGCTAGTAATGGCAAACTAACATTTCCGCCTTCAGAACAGAAGTGTATTCCTTGCTCTTTCTGCAGGTTAGTGCAGAGCACACCTAGAATCATGAAGAGATTCTTGCTGCATGCACCGAGAGTCAGTCTGCAGACAATCATCACTATTGGGCTGAAAGGTTTCTTGCGTATTTTTCTCTTTTTTTATGCCAGGTTTCTTCCAAGCTGTACATAGGTAGTAATTTAGAACATAATGCTATAGGAGTACACAGCAATAGCTGAACTGCAGATTTGCTCTGTATTCGTCTCTTCTAAAATGCTTTGGCAAGACACAAGGACACAATAAGCCAATTAATATATAAAGCATGTGGAACACGTTCAAACTGAATGCTGAGAAGTTACTAAAAAATAAAAATGAGATTCTGAAAACACATATAGGTATATCCACAAGCAGTACTTCTGAAGTTTCATTTATATTTGTTTGTGGAATTGGAGCCCTTATCTAAAGTCTTTAAGACAATAGTACATTGTCTTAAATGTACTATTGTGTATTCCCTCTGTATCTAGAGCAATAACCCCATCTCATTGGGGCCTCTACTTTTACAGTAAGCAATCAACTTAAGTGCTGTTTTCAGAAGGGCTACAGTATTTAGATTTAGTCAATAACCTCCTTCAGTATATTAAATTCAGTTTGAGCAGCTACCGTTTTATCAGGGTCTTCAAATACTTCTCTTGCTTCTTCATAGGTGCACAGCTCTTCAAGGCATTCTCTTTCAAGGTTATCCGCTGTGAATGCTTCAAAATCAAATCTGTTATTCAGAAGATGTCGTCCAATAAATAAATTGGCCTCCTTTTCTGAGGTGAATACTAATAAAAAAAAATCAAGTTGATTTAAAGCAAGTTAGGAAAGCTACATTGGTATTTTTAAAGAATGGTTAATAGCTTAAAGGAGCACATTGAGACCCCTTCTTACCCTAGCATCTCCCAGCTGCACACAGGAGAAAGACACATCAAGGTCTACTCTGAAAATTTTGTCTTTGCTGCTAACTTTTCTAACTATGCAATATAAAATAAACACATTTTCCTTTCTCATAAAGCATTTCAGCTATTCCTTACACTGACCAAGATAATCTGATTCTCATGGCAGCTGTTGTTCAAGTTTTGGTGTTATCCCTTCTGGGATGCAGGCATCAGTTTTTTACTGGAGCTCTTAAGAACAAAGTAATAGTTACATAAGCAGAAATTCAGGCAGATCCAAACCCAGCAAGACACTGACCTACTGGAGGAAGGGTGTGAGAGGAGAAAAGAAGAAAAAAAATCTCTGTCTTCTAAAGAATCCTCAATATACATTTATCAATATTCTGGTATCTGTGAGTTCCAAATTTTGTTTAAGGGATTTGGATTTTAAATCATGGCAGCAGAGTCTAGTCATTCTACATTTGTTCTTTTTTCATAATTGTAGCAGCAAGCTGGCACATTGCCAAATTTCTTTGTTTTAAATAAGTCCATGACAGGAGTTTTACTGACAACAGGCACTTTTAATTCTTTTCTTTTGTGCCGATTACAGGCTCTGTGAGGCCTCATGGAGGAAGTTGTGAGGTGAGATTCTGGAAGAGTTAATGAAATTATAGAAGGCTTTGGAATACAGGAATGCATCTTCTCACCAGGCACTTTCCATAGTCAAGTTTTAGCCTGCTCTTGCTACAGCTTCTTTAAAAAAAAAACAAAAAAAAACAAAAAACCTTCATAAGACAGAATTAGTTTTCTGGCTTGTTTTTTAGTGAAAGCCTAATCTGTTCTCCAAGAAATTCAGACTATTTGGTTAAGCAAAATGACTAGAGGATTATTTTTGCAAGCATAATGCAGAAACAGCTTTGTTTAATACCAAGCCAGACAGCTAAAAAAGGAGATGAGACTCAGAACAACATTATTCAGCTACAAATTAGCTCTATGTTCTTGTTAGCTTGTTTGGCAAGATGATCACATCATTCAGGAATTTTTATCCTAATAGTTACTGTTAGATCTTGCAATGGTATCTCAAAATGGGTTGCTCTCTGAAAACTAAGAAAACTGCAGTGTAACTTGCATTGGTTGTTTATGTCTTTAATATTATAGTATATTGAAACAATAATACAGTATATATTTAAATGATTTATATAATATTATAGTATATATTGAAGGAGCCACACATGTGCGCGCACATTTGTGTAGGAAGGGAAATCTGTTATTCTAAAGTAATTGCAAGAAAATTTAAGCTTAAAACATTTATGCCATATCTAAAAGTAACCAGAGGGAAGGACTCCATCCAGAAAAAAAACCCAAGCTCACAAGTGGAAAGGGAAGAGAGTTACATGGAAAAAATATTATCAATATCTTGGTTGAGTGCAAATCGCGAGAATAGCTTCAGTCTTGTGAAACAGATCTTCAGTTTTGCTCGGCAGTGTTTCCTTCCTTACCATGCAAGTAGTAATAGCTATACGTCTCAATTAACTTAGATAATTGATGCATTTTAATTAATGTGGAATGCATAGGCAAGCTGCCTGGAGCCTAGGACCTCTAATTCCCAGTGATACATGCTTCTTTTTTCTTTCAAAGAGTCTTAATCCATTTATCCGCACTTTTTTTTTTTTGTAGGACATAGTCAAAGTGCACCTAACTCCAGCTCAGAATTACCTACAACCTGGTGATTAAGAGATACATAGTATTTGGAGAATGAAGCAGATGGATTTGAATGCTCTCCTATACACAAGGGAACTGAATGCAGTCCTGCAGTCCTTAGGCCATGGTTCAACAAAACAGTAAATCCAGTTTTAGGATACCTAGCATTTAATTAAAAATGCATCCACACAATGTGCTGAATAAAGTAACTCTGCTGGTAAAAGATGTTCAGAGAATGCTGAAGGGGTAGCCTCCCCACGGAGGTGCCCCATACTCTCAGCAACTGTTCTACTTGCTAAATCATTGGATAAAGAGTTGGGCCGCTCTCTTTCCAACTCTTTGAAGGAGTGATCTGGGCCTATTGTCAGGAGAGGGTTCTATGCCGTGAACTCACAGGGGAGAGGCAGCCTGGCAGCTGGGCGTTTTATGCCCCAGAGCAATATGGATTTTAATGAATAACCTGTCTCAAGCATTTTTCTGCTAGCCATGTTTTCTGCTCGACATACTGCCCTGAAGGAGCCTCCTGCTCAATGTGATGAGTTTTTACAGTCTGTCTTAAGGTTTCAGCACTCCTTACCCACTGAGGAGACTGGACAGCTAGGTCACAAATTCCTTTTTGAAAGCCTGATGCTTAAATTGTAAGCATCACACGGCTTAGTATCGTACTGCTAGAGTCCTTTTGGGGAACTTCATTTGTTTCTACCTCAGTTCCTCTCCACTTCACTCCCCCCAAATGAAGAACTGAAATAGCAGCACTATATTTATCTTTCAGGGTGCTGTAAGGGGATCTGGATTTGAGAAAAAATATCAATCTCATAAAACAAGCAAATAAACTCTTTCAAATAGAAAGCAATTTTAGATATACAAGTAAAACTGTGATGTGCTCAAACAATACCAAAGCAGTACTGTCTTAATACAAATACCAAGCTTCTAGAACTTTGATGTTACTTAGAGGGTTCTGGTTGTATCAGTGAGAATAATCCTACAGACCTAGAGAAAGCTCAGTTGTCCCAATCTGTGCTTACTACTGGATCTCCTAAATACTATCAACATCCAAGTCAGTTAGCATTCATTTCAGCGAAAGATACTCAAATATTCTAAAATTAGGCATAAAACGGCTTAATTTTTTAAATGAAGCAAAAAAAACCACCAAACCCCAAACTATTTACATACATAAAAAGATTTCTCAGTGGAAGCAAAGTTAGATACAGTTTGCTTTTGGAAAGCATAAAATCACGTTAAAAGTAAGTTACCATCTTCCCATGCGGGTTGCTTCAAGTCCCCTAACCTCCCGGCGCAGTGAGGAAATGCCGACACCATCACGGGCAGCTGACACAGCAGTACCAAAACGGCAAACATGGCGATGGCGGGATCTGTCAGACAGAAACTAACGTGAGTTAACAAAAAGGGAAAGACAGCGCAATCTTCTGAAGTGTCAGTGATGAACCCTGAGTGAATCCTGCGAATGAGCTCACCCAGCGCGAGCACGGACATGCCGCTGCAGCTAATGGATCCGAACTGGTCCTGCGTGTCTCGTCGTCAAGCGTTCATTGCGCAACGCCCGCACATGTCACCGCGCCGCTCTCGGCACGGCCAGGCCGCCCGGGCAAGCGGCTGCGAGGAGCCCGGTTC